TGGTAGTGGTAGTGGTAAGTGGTAGTGGTAGCAGTAGCAGTAGTAGTAGGAGTGGCAGTAGCAGTAGTAGCGGGCTTGAACTTTGGTCGCGGTCATGGTTTTGTTCGCGGTAGTGGTTGTGGTTGTGGTCGCGGCTGCGGTCGTGGCAGTGGTTTTGGTAGTGTTTGCGATAGTAGTTCTGATTGTGGTACTAGTAGCGGTGGCAGTGGTAGTGGTAGTGACACAAACAGAAAGGTCTTAAAATCGAAAAAGCAATGACTGCAGCAGCAGCAGCAGCAGAAAAAAGTCGAAGCAGGCAGCCGTAGCACTTGTGTCCTGAATATCAACTATGATGACTTCTCCAATGCCATTGTCAGACTTGCCATTGTTTACCGTCGCCGCCTGTCTCACGTCTTACGATATTTGCGGCTTTAATGGCTTTGGTGGCTGTTGATCTTGCGAGTCTTGGATGATACAAAACACGGGTTGGGACTCCAACGCAATCCTCGCCATCGACGCAGGGTGTTCCCGTGGTCAGACTGTGGCAGGCGACGTCCCAGTACCTGCACGAGCTGTTTGGCAGCAGCTCTGTGGGACAACTACGGATCCTGGGCCGAGCATGACACCAACCAGTGACCGTTTCTGATCAAGAAAAAACCACGAAAGACGACAACAGCATGCAAAGCTGCCCTTTCTGTTCTTCAGAGTCGTACAGTGGTTGATGAAGTATAATTGCCAGCGAAACTAAGCAGCAAGAACGAGCAGCAGTGAAGGTCATGATCACGACTATGATTGCCACGACGACGACGACGACGACGACGACAAGGACAAGGACGGCGATGACAGTGTTGATCATGAAAATCTGAACGTAATGAAGATGACTGAGATGATGACGACGGAAACGACAAAGATCATGATGAGGGGGAGAAGGGTTGTCATCACCGCCACCACCGTCAGCATCCCAGTCATCATCATCATCATCATCATCAGCAGCATTATCATTGTCATCGTCATTATTCAATCATCGCGAGCATCACCACTAGCAGTCACTGGCAGGACTAGGAGAATGTGAAATCCACTGGACTGGACACATCTGGACAGCATCTGTCAGTCAGTCGCAGCTTAAGACAAGTCACTGACACCAGAAACCCAACGTTAAAGTCAGAGAAACCTTCTCTTCCTCAGTGCCTCAGCCGACCAGCTTCGTCGATGGGAGCACGGCGACGCTGGGAGTCGAAATGGAAGCCTCGAGCAGAGCTAAAACGGGAACCCCCCCAGCCCTTTCCTGGTAAGGTTTGGGGATGTTTAAGGTTTAGGATGACGCTCCAAGAAATCCTGACGAAAGCTTTCAGCTCCGGTCGTCAAGGCTTCCCGAAGTGTTCTGCCGCCAGAAAATCCTGTCGGACTAGGGCTTCCATGGGCTTCCCAAAGTGTCCTGCCACCACCCAAAACATGTCAGCCATGGTGACCGGAACTGACTGGTGAACATGGACTGGGTACTCCGTCACTCGAATGGGTCGGTAGGTGCCCGGCAGAAACACAAGGATGTTTTCCCACGCACGCGGTGAAGCGCACAGTAGCCCTTCTGGAAGTCCTGCAGCGAAGCGGTTTCAACTCCGGCGAGCCTTCCCAAGGCCCAAGGCCCGCACCGCACAAGGTGTCGCGTGGAAGCCGCGCAGAATCGACTGGTGCGACGGCCTCAGCAGAGGCCGTCGTGCCGATCCGAAGTGACTTGTTTTTCCCAAAAAGCCTTGGCGGAAGCGCCTCTGGGGGCCCAAGCAGCTCCAGAGTGCCCCGCCACTCAGGCAGGAGAAGGGTGCAAGCCTGAGACATGCTTCTTTTTTTCGACTTCGGCGGACTTGGCATGAGTCATAGCCTTTTCGTTCAGCCCGCGCATGTCACTCGCAAAGGCCACAACTGCATGGTGCTCTACCCATTCTACCCACTGCAACAGCTCTGCTAAATGCGAAACGATGCTGCAACGGGGGGACCTCCAGTCTCGCTCGTGCAAAGGCCGTCTTCCATGTGTCAATCTGAATCAACGGGGGTGCATTTTGGAAGCACAAGATTTGCTGCACTTGCCATTGCCTCGTCGATATCCAGCTTGTCGTTCCCCCCTGCAGGCAAGCATATTGCACTTGCAAGTTAGATGTCTGAACCGCTCAAGCTGACAAAAACATGTCCAAGAGGGCAGGCACAATCCGACGCGATCAGTGCTTCATCATTGGATCATGGAGGCTGCTCTGTACAAAAACTGGCTTGCAAAGACTGGATGAGCATTCCCGGGCCTGGCACCACTCCTGCCGATTCGAGCTGCATCACCATCCACGAGGGCCCACCGGAATCTACAGCCTCTCTTCAGAGCTTCATTCCTGAACCAAGCCAGACGACAAGCACAAGGTACACAAGCAAGTCCGTTCATCTTGAGACGATGCCATCATACAGATTGATTGAGAATCGGTGCAAACCCATCTCGTGGGTTCTGCATTCTGCAATTCCAGCAACGTATACAGGGTGAAGAGGAGACGTTCCAGAATTTCAGGTGGGATACAGCAAGACTGAAATCAGGGCTTCAAATTCGTGGAGTTTGGAACATTCGAAGCTCGGGAGACATCAAGAAATGTCGCGCGAAACACTGCATAAAGCTTGGGTCTTGGCCCAAGCTCATGTGAACTTGATCGGATGGCCCTTCCAATAGACAAGCCCGCAACAGTGCTAAATCGCGAAAGCTGCTGGCACGCTCGTGCACAGGTCCTTACCTACTAGGTCAGCAATGTGCAAGCATGGCTTTTGCGGATCTGTGTCAAAAAATACTGCGACAAAAACCTCACCATCCTCCCGGTCATTTGCAGAGCACAAGACTCGTGAAGCGCTCTGTTCCTTTTGCTTCGAGCAGATGGCCTTCACTAGCTGCGAAGGCAGGCCAAACGACCGTTCAGCAATCAGCCGTTGTTCGGCTGTTCGGCTGGCAGAGGGTAAAAGCCCAACGCATGTATCGATGTATTTAAGAAATGCGCTCGTGCTGCACGCTGGAGGACTCCTATTCTGCCTTATCTATCTGATTCTCAGACTTGTCCACCGCGCAACTGCTGACAGCACATGCTCCTCTTAGAACTACACATGTGGGCAAACAGAAACTCTAAAGATACAGCTGCCTGCACCTTTGTTGCGAGAACCCGCACTGCACCCGGAACTGCTTGGAGCCTAGGAAGCGCAGCTCCCTGAGCAGAAGCTTGGAAGAGCCCCAGAGAACGAAGTACAGCCGCAGCTCTCGGGAGAAAGATGCGCCAGAGGGCGGAACGAGTCCGGCATACCTTCACAGCACTTTAACATCCATGATTGTATCCTTTGGAAAACTGATGAGTCCCTTACACCCTGTAGACAGCATCGTCTCCACCGTCTGCCCCAGGATGACCTCTAAGACCGCTCTTGACCCCTCACCAAAATGTGCCCTGGCACCAGGGGATAGAGCGACCAAAAGGCCTGCCAGGCATCGCTGGTCACCTTCTTGATTCTTAACCACTCTGTAGAAACCCCCTTTCTCCACGCAGAAGAAGCCTCAGGAACACGAGCTTCCTGAAGTCAGCGACGGCTGGCCAGGGCCGTAATCGTGCAATCCGCAGGCTTGTGGAAGCACAGGGTCTCTGTGGTTTCTGCCTTCTACCACGGGGACCTCTAGGGATCATTGATCGTGCTCGCATTGGCATTCGAAGGACTCTCAACCGACTTGGATCCGGAAGTGTAGCGGCGCACAGAGGGTCCAACGGGTCCAGTAAGCTGCCGTTCCACGTTTTCGAGTCGCGAGCGGAGATCAGTAAATTCAAGTTGAAACTCTTGCCGCAGTCTGGCAATTTGGCTCTCGAACAAGTCTTCGACATCGTGGACGTTGCACACCAGCATCTGAACTTCTGTGATCTTCACTTCACCCTGTGGGTCTTGCTCTTGCTGCCAATCCACGCTGATTAACTGGCCGGATGCATTCCGTGTCGCCATGGCACACGCCCCTAGACGCAAGACGAACTAAAAAGCTGCCTAAGTGTAAACGGTCAACTAGGCTGACCTTGCAAGCACAGAGCCAGAGACTTGAGTCAGACACAACATACAAAGGACATGCGATAGCGAATCTTGAATGACTGCCGCAAGCACATGTGTGCACAGTCCGAATCTTACAAGATGTGTACAGAGCCCGGTTGAATATGCAATACACCACGAGCTGGAAACTGATTTGAATTGGCGATGGCAACACTCTGTTGTGAGCACTCTAAGAACTGCCGCACATATGACCATCAAACCGCATTCCGTCGGTCGGGCTTCTTCAGGGTTGGCCACGGTCACTTTCTCCTTGTTCCAAGATCGGTTGGTCATTGCCACGTCAGCCGAATGGCGGCCGACACTTCCTAGACACAATAGCACAGCGGCTCCAAATTGCTGTCCACGTTCAGACTGCAATTGGTCGGATTCTTGTTGTAGGCGCACTCCTGTCTGACCACATTGACTCCTGCACGCGGTGAGCAAACCTAAACCCTGAAGCCCCAACTGCGGATTCAAGCCAAACCACGGCAAAGCCCCTGATCGGCCCGGCCTCTTAAGTAGGTCGGGGCCCGGCTGAACCTCCCCCGGCCGGAGAGGCAGCTTATGTTCAGGGCCTCAAAGAGGCGAATGGCCCGTGGGATCCGATCGATCTCTTCCATGGGGCCCGGGTCGCAGACCTTCCTCAGGGTGGGCCTACGTTCCTACCTGGAGGTTCACTTCGAGTTTGGGGGTTGGGGATAGAACTGCGAGAACCCCTACGCAACTCCTGGGCCCTTGCGGATCTGATGTGGCCAAGTCTCCCTTCTGCCTGGCAGACGGAATCACACGAGCTTCCTTTCGGGCCCAAAGTCCAGGCCGGAGACTGAGTTGAGCAGTTGACTCTTCGGGACCTATTCACTCCATGCAGAATGCAGAGAAGTGGATATGTCAGGGAAGGGGATGCATCTTTGCAAGCAAGCCGCTGGCGTCGTGGTCGACGTTGTGCCAGTGCAGAAGCACAACGGGCGGACTTCTTCGCGCGTATTGTGGGAACAGTTGACCCCGTTTCTGCTGAGGGAGCAAACTCCCCTTCTGGGCTCAAAATAAACGCCCTGGTTGAAGATGCTGTTGTTGCTGAGGCAGGTGAAGTTCGTGCCCTCGTCCAAGCCAATCTGCTGAACGGTAATGGCAAGCTCCTCCTCCGTGTCTATCGACTGAATTTGTGTCAAGTTACACCCAGCAAACTCGTTGAACGTGCAGTAGTCATTGCAGGTGTCGTGGAGATCGCCCAATACGAAGGTAGGAGCAGCAGCCTGGTATGTGCTTGCGGCAATTTGCTGGCTTGAGATTTAATTGCTGGGGGGGCTACCAGTTGTGGGAGGTCTGGTCCCTGTTCGAGCTTTGGGATTGTAGGCCCACAGTCAGCGAGCCAGAAACGCAAACCAACACATTCACTGAAGACTCCTCTGGCGCCGAGGAGGTTGATGACGTAGTGGTTGGCGGGGGGGCAGATGACGTAGTGGTTGACGGGGGGGCAGTCGGCCGATGGTAGCCGTAATAGCCGTACTTGTAGCCATTTCCATGCCTGGCCATTGCACAACTAGTCTGTTCTGACTGCCTCCCTGATCCCTGATCAGACTTCGAAAAACCTGCAGTCGACTAATACGCTCAAGGCAACAGGATCTGCAAACGACTGCAATCCCCGATTATTGTTGGCCCCATGGCTTGCTCGATTGGACACTGTTCAACCTGCTCATGTTTCGACTCAGAAAGCAAGTTCAAGCATACCAACGCCAGCGCTCATTAGGTTTAAGCTCCTTGAGCTCAACTTCCACTGGCAAGGAATCTAAGCCAATTTGGATGAAATACACAAAATACATTTAACTGGTGGTGGCGGTGGCGACGGCGGCGGCGGCGGAGGTGGTGGTGGTGGTTGTGGTGGTGGTTTGTGGTGGTGGTTTGTGGTGGTGGTTGTGGTGGTGGTGGTGGTGGTGGTGGTCTGTTGTGGTCTGTTGTGGTCTGTGGTGGTCTGTGGTGGTCTGTGGTGGTCTGTGGTGGTCTGTGGTGGTCTGTGGTGGTCTGTGGTGGTCTGTGGTGGTCTGTGGTGGTCTGTGGTGGTTTGTGGTGGTGGTCGGAATGAACAACACAACGGAGACATGGAAGACATCGTGAAGACGGCAGAAGGGCAGCCGGTGTTCATGTTCTATTCAGCATTATCTTCAACAACATGGGCGGGGCCGGATTGGCCACTAGCTCTGTCAGCCTGATGGGGTACCACCTGAAGCAGAAGCACCACACTGTAACCAACCCTGCCCCCCCGGCATCTCAAGTTACGACCCCCGGACTCGCACATCCACCTGAGCCTGCGTCGCCGACGCTTGCGCACAGAGCGAGGCTGTTGATGACCCTGCGTTGGTACTGGCAAACGCTCACGCAATAGATTAGTATGTAGGTGAGTTAGGGATCAAGTCAAGTGAAAAATGGAGCTTGTCTGACTGACGATGGAACTTGGGTCAGACTACAGCTCCATGAGAGCACACCAGCTTGGACAGCTTGGACTACAGGACCCAGCATCTGCAAAAACCCCAAACCACCAAACTGCAGAATGATGACGGAGGCTCATTGCAAGAGTTGAGATTGTTGGCGCGGTGGAGCGTTCGTTGTCTCCGTGCTCAATGAATTTTCTGTCCGGCTCTGTTCCACCCGCGAGGCCGATCTTATAAGGAATTCCTGGGCAAGAATCTGGTTGCTGCTTGGGCCGGACTGGACTGGCTTCTAGCCTTAAGCGTTCTGGTCTTAAGTACCCCTGTACAGCATATACCCTTGCGGGGACTCTGACAGTGGCAGGAGAGCTAACGGTTCAAGAGTTTGTAGGACTGGACGTCACCTGCTTCGACTAAGTTTGGCGGCTGTGATCATCACAGTCACAGCCTCCGGTGAATAACTACACGCAATTCTCGAATCTTCCTCAAAACAATTCCAACGCACCCATGCGGTCACGGCGTTCGGGCTAATCGCGGCTAATCGAACCTTGTTGGCCATCCTCTTTCCCTTTCATTAAGAAGTCAATCAACCTCAGAGCGCATGTGAACCATTTGGCAAGTCGTGCGCGTAAGTTCCGTAGGGACCTCATACGCCATCTGCGGGGGCGCCTGCCTGGCCCGTGTTGTGCTGCAAGAAGGCCATCTCGTCCCCCAAATTGCCATTGGAGCTGGCAGGACAGGCAAAAGACCATCAAATGAACAACTGCGCTATGCATGCTGGCCAATGTCGGATAGGGGCCACGGCCTCAGTGCATGATGGTGCACGGTCAATAATACGTCATTTTCATGTAACATCTTCTAATTTCTATCCATCACTCGCACGGACAAACATGCGCCTGCATGTCGCGCTCACGAACTGCTTGATCTCACCTTGTCGCACTGTTTCGCCGCTTGCGCCACTGCAAATGACCTGAGAAAGCAGCTCCTCAAAACCCAGGAGAGCAGACACGTGCCTCAAAACATGTGAACAACATGCATGGCGGAAACGCAACCCTGTAGCAGGACCTCTATGCAATCGAGCCACGAAAATCAACCAACTCCATGCTTTCATGTTGTTCGAAGTGTGGTTCACTTCGGTTAAACATTTGAAAACCAAAATTGGCAGCTCACGCAACGCAAAAACCTGCGATGAAAATCGAAAGCATGCTGTCAACTAGCGAATCTGAACACCACAACAAAAGGTCTACAACTACTGCATTTTTGCCCGGATACTCAAAAGCCCGCACACCGTACTGACCGAACATGTTCCTGCGAAAGCCGCTGCATGATTTGTGCCTGCCCAACCTGGGGCCCAGACACTGTTAGCAACAACCGGAAATACAATGCAACACAACACCATAAAATACTTCATACAACATCATGCAGTACATAACATAAGATACAACACAATACAACGCAACACAGTATGCAATTGCGACAATAACTGTAATGCAATACAACAACACAATACAACACAACACAATACAATACCACAACACAACACAATACACACAACACTATACGAAACAATACACTATACCAAACACTTTGCAACAAACAATACAATATAACAGCAAAACACAAAGGGTTTCTTTTTGTCTTGTGTTGTAGTTGTTTTGTTTTGTTTTCTATCACGCCTGGAAGCAGTGACACTCTCATTTGGCGATGAAGCTCCAAGAACCAGCTTTACGGAAAGAAGACCCAAAACTGAGACCAACCTTCGGATGCTTTGATTCTAGTTGTCTCACAGGAAGGAAGCCACATGGGCCCTTAGCATTGGAATGTTTGAGAAGAGTGCAAATCCTCGAGTTCCAAGTGTCAGACCCAAACACCATGTGAAGTTCGCTGAACTCAGGCCCAAACACCATCTAAAATTCGCTGAACTTCGACTCAAACACAATCAAGTTCACGGACCAGACACAAACACCAGCTGAAAGTTGATCGAACCTTTCACTGAAACCAAAGTTCACAGAACCAGATGCAGACACCATCTTGAAGTTCTCTAAACCCAGACCGAAACACAATCTGAAAGTTCATTAAATTTCGGTCTGTGACTGCACGTTCGTACGTTTCGTTTCGTCT